AGCCGCCCACCGAGGCGCCCCGCGCCGACGCCGGTAAGGATCCCCGGGCCCCGGGAGAGGAGACGGTGGCCACTGCGGCCCGGTCTCTACCCAAACCCATTTCGGCCGCGCAACTTGGCCCAGGGCGCTAAGTGTTAGTAATTGTGTGGTAGTTTTTAAAATTTACTTTGTTTTGAGACGAGATCTTACTATGTCAGGCTGGCCTGGAACCCAGTATGTAGACCAGGCCTGGAACTATGGTGCTCCTCCTGCCTCAGCCTCCCAAGTGCAGGGATGATAGGCGTGCACCACCACGTCCAGCCCTGAGCATAGTCTATCCTAATGTCAGCCTGCTTTTCCAAACCGTTGTTGGCTCTGCGGCCTCAAGTGTTGCAAACAGAGCTGGGCTGTGGGCATTGGTGTGAGGAACCAGGGGCCGGATCTCCAAAAACCCAGAGCAAACTGTGCGCTCCGCTTTCTTCCCTGGCCCAGCTACTTCAGTAACCTCAGAGTTGGGTTTTGTTTTATTCTGGTTTTCGGTGATGGGAATTGAACTCAGGTTTGCACACTGAGCTACACCCCAGCCCTTTTTTGGTAAGACCTTAAGTTGCCCAGGTTGGTCTAGAACTTGTGATCCTCCTGCCTCAGCCTCTCCGTGCTGGGATTACAGTCCTGTGCTACTAGGCTTGGCTGTTTTAATTTAATGTGTCTGATTTATAGTGCTTAGCTGACTTTCCTTTTTGGTTATTGTTTGTTGTTTGTTTGCTTGGGTTTTGTCTTTGTTTTTGTTTTTGAGACAGGGTCTCACTTTGTAGTTCAGACTGCTTTGGAACTCAATATGTAGCCCAGGCTGGTCTCCAATTCACAGTGATTCTCCTGTCAGCCTCCCCAGTGTTGGGATTATAGGTGTGCGCCACCATGCCTGGCTGACTTTCCTTTTTAGATCTATTGGCAGGAAGATGGACGAGGTAGACTCTCTCACCCCACACTGGAGATCGAACTCAGGACTTCACAGCAGGCAAGGTGCCACTGAGCTAAATCCCCAGCTTGATGGTAGACTTTTTGTTGTCTTAATACTGGCCCATTTATATATTCAATGACTACAGGGTGTAGGTGCAGTTAGCCAAAAAATAAAATGAAATGAAGTGCTTCTAAAATGAGGGGGTAAGGGCACTGATTGTTATTGTACAGAGGTTCATGTTCAGGGTTAAATAAGAAAAAAAGAAGCTGGTATGGAGGCCACGCCTGCAATTCCATCACTTGGGAGAATGAAGCAGAAGTTGCCCAGCCTGCGCAACTTAATTTAAGGTCTTAACTCAAAAGAGGCTGGTGTTAATTAAGCTCGGTGTGCAGACCTGGGTTCAATTCCTACAATAAAACAAAACCCTAACCCTGAGACTTGGAGTTCCAGGCCAGCTTGGTCCACATAGTGGGTTCAAAGCAGCCTGCAGAGTGAGAACCCGTCTAAACCATGCAGGAAAAAAGAGAGCGAGCCAAGTGCAGCCCTGAAATCCCAGCACTCAGAAAGGCTGAGGCAGGACAGTCACAAGTTTGATTGCAGCCTGGACAAACTCAGTCACTTAGCAAGAGCCTTTCTCAAAATCAAAGAGAATTAAGATGGCATTTGCTACCTAGGCCTAAGGTGGGAAGTAGTATACAAGTGGCATTTGAAAGCTACAGTTTTGGACCAGTGTCTCCTTCCTGTCCCCAGCAGCCTCTCCCCTTCCTTCCTCTGTGGGCCTGCTCTTGCAGGAGCCCCCTGACTCCTCCACCAGTCCCCACATCACCCCGCCCAGCTGCCTGGAGGAGGCCTCGGGAAAGAAGGAGGAGGGGAAGGTCCCTGGGAAGAAGCAGAAGGTCCGCACCGTCTTCTCCCAGACGCAGTTGTGCGTGCTGAACGACCGCTTCCAGAGGCAGAAGTACCTCAGCCTGCAGCAGATGCAGGAGCTGTCCAGCCTCCTGAACCTCAGCTACAAGCAGGTGGGCTCCCCGCGCAGGGCGGGAGGTGGCAGGGCGCTGCCAGCAGGACAACCTCTGGATGCACTGTACATTCTTCCCTGCTTTGCCCTCCTTTCCCACTTTTACTTTTGTTTGTTTTATACTGGGGATTGAATTCGGGTCCTTGCGCTTCGATGTTTTTGGTTATTTAAGATTAATTTTATCGGTGCAAGCACGAGGACCCGAGTTCGATCCCCAGTACCAAAAAAAAAATTAATTTTTTTGGCACATTTAGGTACACGATATGACATTCATCATTGGAGACTTGTACCTTTACATATTATCTTCATTCTTACTTTGTCTCCATTCCCCTGCCCTTCCTTCAACCCCCTCCACCTCTCCTCCCTACTTATGAAGACTTCATTTCCATTTTTTCATTTTCTCACATTAATTCCATTTTTGTGGGGGGTACCAGGATCAAACTCAGGACCTTGCATTTACAAGGCAGGCTCTGCCACTGAGCTAAATCCCCGGCTCTTATTTTTGTTTTTTGAGACAGGGTCTCCCTATGTAGTCCGGCTGGTCTTCAGCCCACAGAGATCCTTCTGCCTTAGCCCCCTAAGTGCTGGGATTACATATGGACAGACCAGTTTAAGTTATGTTAAAAATGGGTCTGTCTATGTTAAAAAGCTCTGGGATTTAGCTCTGGTTCTGGTGACTGCCTCCAAAGCACAAGGACTGAGTTGATTCCCAGTACCAAAAAAAAAGCTCTTTGTCCTAAATCAATGATGTATCCGTTTAAAAAATTTTTTTGTATGGGTTGTGGGACTTGGTTCCTTGCATGGAACCACTGAGCTAAATCCCCCTGCCCTAAAATTTTTATTATGTATTACTGAATTCCAGTTAGATATTTGATCAAAACAATTATTTTAGGGCTAGGGATTTAATTTAGCTCAGTGGTTCCAGTGCCTGCCTCAAAAGCTCAAGGACCCGAGTTTGATTCCCAGTACCAAAAAAAATTATTTTAAATTTCTGGTGCCAAATGCAAATGTACTCGTGTTAGGAGGATGTTACTGTAAACAAGTCACACACACACACTCACCCCGGCCGTACACAGGCTACTAACTAGACAGGCACTACCTCTGAGCTACACCTTCAGTCCTTTTTAAATTTTGGATAGGATCTTGCCCAGGTAGGACTCAAACTTGTGGTCCCCCTGCCTTGGCCTCCTTCCCACAGCCATGTGCCCCGGTGCCCAGTTTATTTAGCTGGTCAGACTTACTTAAAAAACGAGAGCAGCCGACCGATTGGTAAGGCTTGGAAATACTTCCATAGAACTCTGATGCAAACTGTTTGTTCCTGAGCTCTTAGTTCATCTGTCAGGAAGGAAATTTCAGTGTCAGGACCCCCGTACATCTGCGTTCCGAGTGTTGTTGACTTCCTGTCACTTCCACTGCAGGTGAAGACTTGGTTCCAAAACCAGAGAATGAAATGTAAGCGGTGGCAGAAAAGCAACTGGCCGCAGAACAGCACCAGCACCCCTCAGGTGACCGGGAGCTGGCAGGTGGGCCATCTGTTGTCCCAGCTCTTGACCTCCTGTGCCCTTTGAACAGGCCCACCCTCCTCTCTTTGGTTTTCCTAGTTTGCTTGGGTTTTTGTTTTGTTTTGTTTTAACTGGGTGTGGCATCAGCACTGCTGTGATCCTAGCCCTTGGGAAGGACCGAAGTTCAAGGCCAGCTGGGCTGTACTCTGGGTTCCAGACCAGCCGAACTGGGAATCAATAAAGTGTCGCTTTGCTAACTTTGTGTGCAGTGAGGTGCTTGAGGACTGCACTCCCCACGGGGATGGGTGTGAGCACCTGCAGCCCCTCTCTGCAGAGCTGCCTGGGGGAGTGAAGGTCACCGCCTCCACTGGACCTTGAGGGCTCCCAGAGCTGATCCGGAGGGGAGCCCCAGCCTCCCAGCCCCTGGGCCATACCTTGGCTGGTAACCAACTGTTTTCTTTCAGAAGGGCCCATCCCCGGCGGAGTACCCAAGCGTCTGCTCCAACTACGCCCAGGGCTACCTGGTGAACACCTCGGGGAACCCGGTGTGGGGCAACCAGACCTGGAACAATGCAGGGTGGGGCAGCCCCTCCTGGAACCCTCCGCAGGCCTGGTGCCCCCAAGCCTGGAATAGCCCCATCCCCGGCTGTGGGGAGGAGGCCCTGCAGCCTTGCCTGCCCTTCCCGCAGAACTTCCCTGCCAGCGACTTAGAGGCCGTCCTGGAAGCAGTTGGGGACAACTACAAATACCTCAGCGCCCCCCAGTCCTTGGATCTGCTCCTGAATTATCCCCCGAACCCGCAGCCTGAAGACCTGTGAGGATGGAGGCTGTGTTCCCACCTGGATGACCCCGGACCTCCCTCCGAGGACTTGCTGTTTTAGGGGGAGGATTGCCTGGTGGTGTCCTGGTCCCCACTGTGCCTGTGGGGACAACTGGGGCTGTGCAGTAGGACTGGAATCTGAACGAGGAGCTTGGTGACCCTGCAGCCCATGGCTGGATACAGATAAGCAGCTGGGGTGCTGTCCATGGGGCTGGAGGTGGACCCCAGCCTCAGGAGCAGGTGCTTGGGACTGTACAGAAAATTCAGTTTCCTGTGAGTTTGGGGCTTTGCCTCTTAACACTGGGCCCGGGGTGTATATGGCTCAGGGCCAGGGTGCTTGCTCCGCACACTTGAGGGCCCTGACTTCCACCCCTGGAACTGTAGAAAGACCCATTGTGCGGAGCTGGGAATGGAACCCAAGGCCTTCTTCCCATTTAGCTGCATTCCCACCCCACAGCTTTCCCTGAGGCTCTGATATCTCAACTGGGCCCCCACATCTGGCTATGAATAAATGCATATTTGTAAGAGTTGTTCTGGGTGAAGGGTTGAATTTAATCACTGCACTGACACCCCCACCCCCTCCCCGAGTTTACCGTGATCTCCCTGTCATGTTTGTGAAAAGATGTCTTGGCACTGCTTCCTGATGGTTTGGGTTCTGGGCTCTTTTAAGTGCAAATGAATAAAAACCCAACATTACACCTCTGCCTATGCTTGCTTTCACCCGTTGGTTCATTGAGTACACATTTGGCCAACTATTTGTTGTGGGGCTATTTCGGGTTGGACCCAGGGTCCTTGCCTTTACCCCATCACTGAGCTACACCCCCAGGTCTTTGAGACATATCACTGAGCTACTCGGGCTTGACCTTGGTCCTGCCTCAGCCTCCCATGCAGCATGCACCACCATGCCCTGTTTGTGACACCCCCTTTTAATTTTAATTTTTTGTTTTTTGAGACAGGTCTCAGTACATAGTTGAGACTGACCTGGAACTCACCATGTAGCCCAGGCTGGTCTCGAATTCAGTGATCCTCCTGAGTGCTGGGATAGGCTGAGCCACCACGCCCAGCTTAGGCTTTGATACTGAGCATTTATGCTTTATCCTCTCAGAGGTGGATATGGCAGATACTTGAGGACTCCCCAGTCCTCTCTAGAAGGTAGAGTCTGAGCTGAGCATGGTGACACGCCTGTAATCCCAGCATTCTTGGAGGCTGAGGCAGGAGGGTTGCAGTCTCTGGAGCCCAGCCTGAGCCACTCAGTTGACTTAGGAAGAGCCTGTCACAAAATGAAAAGGTCTGAGGGCCGAGCTCACGGCAGGGCACCCAGGTCCAGATTCAGCACCCGCCTCCAACAGGTACAAAGCAGTCTGGGGAAGTAAAAGAAACCGTTTTTGTGGACCTAATGAAATGAGAACTGGCCGGGGTGTGCAGCTGTGCTGCTGGCCTAGAGAGGTACTCCAGCAGGACGGAAGGGGCGGCTCATCCAGCGGGTAAGGGACGCGCAGGTGTTGGGGACCGGTGGGGCCCGAGGGGCAGCCTCGCAAGTCCGGGGCCTGGGAAGCGACTCCTGCGTCCTGTCTCGGGGGCGCGGCCTTGAAGTCCGGGCAGGTGCTGGCGCGTCCCAGATTCCCCACCGGGACCTTCCCCGCGGCTCCCCGCGGCTCCCGGGCCCGGCCCCTTCAAATGCCAGCCTCGCCGCAGCCGTCCGGGACTCACTTCCTGGCCCGAGGCCTTTGTCTGCCGCCTTGGCTTCTTTTATTTCACAAATTCCTTTTGTCCTCCTCTCCAGGCGAAGCCCGCTCGGCCCCAGGAAACGGCACTGTTTACCAACAGCTCCGGGGCTCCCTGCCTCCGTCTGGCAGCGGTCTGCCAGTGCCTGTGCTCGGCGGACGGTAACCGCGGGCGCCCTGGAGAGCCGGGCTGTGCGCACGGAAAGGAACCCGCGCCTGCCCTGGGGAAGGGGGCGAATTTGGGCCTCGCCTCGGGCCACCTGCCCTACCCGGGGAGTCCTGTGGCCGAGGAAGGGATAAGCCGAAAAGCCTCACTATTAAATTCACACCTCGCTGAAACCACTGTGCTTTCTTTTTCTTCTTTTTTTTGGGTGTGTGTGTGTGTGTGTGTGCTGTTTTTTTTTGTTGTTGTTGTTTTTGTTTTGGGCCGTATTGGCACTATTATATCACTGCCCCGTCTTTCTTTTATTTGAGGCAAGGTCTTGCCGAGTCCCTAGGTTGCCCAGGCTGGGTACAAACCGGAGACTCTGCTGCCTCAGCCTCCCACAGTGCTGGGATTCCAGGCCTGTGCCCCCCCACGCCTGTACTGAATGACAAAGGTCACATGCTTGCCACCCAGCTCTCGGGAGGCAGAGTTGGGAAGACAGCAAATTCGAGCCCCACCTGGACAATTTAGGAAGACCCTGTCTCAAAATAAAAGAATCAAGAAAAAATGAAAAGGGCTGAGGCTGTGGCAGCCACGCAGGCCCAGGCTTCTACCCCGGTGCTGCAAAACAAACACAAGAGTCCGGGAGAGATGCCTGGACCTTCTCCGGATCAACTCGCCGAACCCTCCCTCGCCGGCCTACCCCAGGCCACTCCCAGCGCACGGCGGGTGCAGCTCCCCGCGCAGGGCCACGACGGCTCCTTCCCTGGATCCCGCATCCTGCGAACAGCGCTGTCCGGCCACTGCAGCCAGAGGGCTGGAGTTCGATCCCCAGAACCGTACATCACTAAGCCATAATAAAATACAAATAAGTGGTAAACGGAAACAAAGCTTTGTAGATAAGGAAGGGAAGAGGGGTGAGAGGGAGGGGAGGGGAACAAAAGAAAAAGAAGAAACAAGATATATCATGTGCACGTACAAAATCTGATGGGGCCTCGATTTTGTTCAGTGGTTCCACCACCTGCCTCGCAAATGCAAGGTCCCAAGTTTGATGCCTGGTACCAAAAAAATAAATAAATAAAAATAAATAAACAAATTTTTAAAATAAAATGGAAGGTCCTAACAACAAAAGATTCCCTCTGATGAATGTAATCATTATGTAAACCTAAAATGTACCAAGGATCGATAGAACTCAGGACCTTGTGCTTGCTAGGCAGATGTGAAGGCTGAAGTAGGAGGATGACAACTTTGAGGCCAGGACGGATTACAGAAGGAGTTAAGTGCCAGCTGGACGACATAGAGGCCCTGTCTCAGAGATGGAAGCCGGGCGTGGTGGCACAAACCTGTAATCCTAGCACTTGGGAGGCTGAGGCAGGATTCCCCCAACTTCAAGGCCAGCCTGGGCTATGTAGAGAGTTCAAGGGCAGCCTGAACTACAGAAGGAGACCCTGTCTCAAAAAACAAAACAAAGAAACAGAGTATGATCTCAAGGAGCATCCATTTAGCTAGGAATGTCTCAAGCTTATCTTTTTTGTTGTTGGTGGTGTTGTTACCAGGGATTGAACTCTTAGCACCTTGCGTTTGTGAGGCAGGTGCAATACACAATATGGTCTGACAACATACAAGGGATAAGGTCAATTCCTTTGCACTTACTTAAACATATTCAATGAGTGAGTATGTGGTCTGTTTTGGAGAATGACCCATGTGCAGCTGAAAAGAATGTGTATTCTGATTTTGTGGGGTGGAACACTCTGTAGACATCTGTTAAGTTCATTTGTTCAAGAGTTTGAGTTCTAGTATTTTGTTTTTTGTCTAATTGATCTATCCATTTGTGACAGTGGGGTATTGTTCCCCCACTGCTACTGTATTAGTACTTATATGATTTTTCATGTCCATTAGTATTTGTTTTGCATAGTTGGGCACACCAGTATTTGGTGCATATTTATGATTGTCATCTCTTCCTCTTGGATTCTTCCCTTTACAAGGATGTAGTGTCCTCCTTTGTCTCTTTAATCAGTATTGGTTTGAAATCCAGTTGATCTGCAAAGATAGTACTCCTGCTTTTTTTTTTTTTTTTTTGGTTCCTGTCACATGGAGTATTGTTTTCCACCCTTTCAGTCCATTAGTTTCTTTTTTGTTGTTGTTTTTGTTTGTTTGAGACAGGGTCTCACTATGTAGTCGAGACTGACCTGGAACTCACTATGTAGCCCAGGCAGGTCTCAAACTCACAGCGATCCTCCTGCCTCAGCCTCCTGAGTGCTGGGATTACAGGCATGCACCACCACGCCCGGCCATGAGTTTCTTTTTGAATTAAGTGTGTTTCTTATATGCAGCATATGTTGGACCTTGCTTTTTGACCCATTCTGCCAGTCTATTTCTTTTGATTGGTGAATTGAGACCATTAACATTGGTGGTTATAAGTGATATGTATTGACTTATCCTTGTTGTAACTTTTTCTTTTTGTTGGATTCTCCCCCTTTGTGTTTAATTTCTTGTGCCTGATGGCTTCATTCTGCTGGGATTCCTGGGGTTATGATCCCCATTATCTTTTCCTAGGATATTGTTTAAAATTTATTGGAGTGCTGGTTTGGTATTCATGAAGTTACTCAAGTGGTCTTTGTCATGAAAGTATCTATTTCTCCAACAATTTTGAAAGATAGTTTTGCAGGGTACATCAATCTGGGTTGGAGGTTGCTTTCCTTTAGGGTTTATATGTCACTCCAAGTTCTTCTTGCCTTGAGGTTTTGTGTGGCGAAGTCTGCTGTGATTCTGATGGACTTTCCTTTGTATGTGATTTGTTTCTTTTCTCTAACTGCTTGTAGAATTTTGTTCTTCTGTTAGGTTTCTAGTATCTTAACTATTATATGACTATGTGTAGTTTTTGTTTTGTTTTGTTTTGTTTTTTAATCATGGTTAGTTGGAGTCCTATATGCCTCACTTATCAGTGTGTCAAGTTCTTTTCCCCTACTTGGTAAGCTTTCTGCCATTACTTCTGTGAATAGTTTTTTGGTTTGTTTTTTTTTGTTTTTTGTTTTTTTTAATGTCATCTGTACCCTCTCCTCTATTTTTTTGTACTGGGGATCGAACTTGGGTCTTTGTGCTTGCAAGGCAGGTGGCGGCACCAATGAGCTAAATCCCTGGCCCTTTTCCTGTTTCCTCATTGATGTCGATCAGTCTTATGTTATTCTTTGCATCATCTAGCGCTGCTGGATTGACTTGTAGTCCCTTACTATTTTTAAGAAAATTTTCTTTTCTTGGCCACTAATTGCAATCCTATCTTCCAAATTTGAAATTTGTTCTCACATTGGCTCATTCTGCTGCATAAACTTTCAATGGAGTTTTTAATCTTCTGGAAATCTGTTTCCATCTGTTTTATGGATTCTATTTGTTTCCTATATTAGGATTCCATCATGTTTCTCAGCTCCTCTATTTTTTATCATTTTGTTTTGTTTTTTTGGTACCAGGGATTGCGCTTGCAAGGCAGGTGGCAGAAACACTGACCAAAATCCCCAGCCTTATTTTATTTTAATCTGTGTCTACTCTAGAGTTATCACGTCTTACACCATGGACACAATCTCTGTTATCTGAGAAATTATTTATGATTTCATTTTTTCCAGATCCTCTTTCATTGCCAGTTCAGGGAGTCCAGGTGGTTGAGTATCCAATTGTTTCATGTTGTTGCCCTCTGTGGTTGCCTTAGGTGATCTGGAAGTCTGGTTTTGTGACTTATG